GGGGGAGGGGGAGGAGGAGGAGGATCCTGAGCACCCTAGGAATCAAGTAGCTTGGTGAGTCAGGATGGGGTGAGGGTGGAGGGCTTCACTTACCGGGGGGCCTTGAGCACCTCGGGCTCCTTTTGGCCCAGTCACTCCAGTAGGACCCTTGGAAGGAAAGGAGACAGGGAGACTTTGAGCTCCAGCGCTGTCCTCCTGAGGGCTAGGTGTTCAGAGCACAGCTTCCGGGCAGTAAGATCCGTCTGGAGAAGCTGCCATATATGCAGCTACCAACCCCACCAAAGGAAGAGTCCAGAGAAGCCAAGCAGACACCCACAGAAGGTCCCACCTCTGGGAAAGCCTTTCCAGTCCCCTCACCCACCCCTAGGGGATCCACTGTCTCCAGGCTGTCTGTGGTCAGTGGAGACACTGTCTGTAGTTTGTACCGGTCCTCCGACACCCCATCTGGGTGCCCCCCGCACCGCACCCCAGACACTGTCTGACAGCGGGGTGTCTCCCAGGCTTCTAGCCATTCTTTCTCTGTTCTGTCTACCACGGCCTCTCCTCTTGCACCCAGCCACCCATGCCCCATGGGAACCATTCTCGGGGAGCTGGGCTTTACCCACCTGAGGCCCAGGAGCTCCAGAGGGGCCCTGAAGACCAGGGGCACCAGCGTCACCTTTGTGTCCAGCCACTCCTTGCTCACCCTTGGCACCAGGCTGTCCGTCCGCACCCTGTAACCAGAGGTGGGGACGGGTGAGGGAGGGGCAAGCCAAGCCTTTGAGATTCCAGGACTGTGCATGAGTGTATGTGTACAGTCTGGATATGAAGATTGGGTCTAAGGCAGAATTGTTACATTCCTACGGAAGTGTGAAAGAACAGGGGAGAGTCCGTTTCCCTCTTCCTGAAATTCTGTCCATCCCTCCTCCACACAATAGAAGGTTGCTGGCTATGGAGCCAGCCTGTGGCAAGGGGTAGGATCTGGATGAGTGGAAATACTCACAGGAGGTCCAGCAAACCCAGCAGGTCCGGGAGGCCCAATCTCCCCACGTTCACCCTGTGAGGAGCAGGTCAGGAGAGGTCAGGTGCCACTGGCTGCCGCCCTCTGTGCCCTCTCAAGAGCCCAAAGCCCCCCGCCCAGTCTCATGACCAGTCACCCCCAGAGGGCATCTGAATGTGGTCTGAGTCTCAAATGAAGGGACCCAGGGTGGAAAGCCTCTCTGGAGCAGAGGATCTGTGGCCCAAAGGCCCTGTGCTGTGACTACATCCTGGGCAGAGAGGAAGCTGTGTGGGGAAGACTGCAAGCAGGCTAAGGGCGTAGCTGGGAGCAGCTACTCACCGGGGCACCACGAGCACCAGCACTTCCGGCGGGACCAGGAGGTCCAACTTCTCCCTAGGGGAAGCCAGAGATGAGATAGATCAGAGTGGGGCCCTCAAGAGCCAAGGGCACCCGGGAACCCCTGCCTGTTTTCTCCTTGTTTCAGTCTCTCCTTCAGCTCTGCATGGCCTCCGCCCTCACCCCTGTCCAGCTGCTCTACCAAGGAGGGCACAGAGCTAGTGGTTTCACTGCTGAGAGGACCCCCACCCCTCACCCCTGCAGCACCAGTGGCAGGAGGGTGATGGATGATGAGTGAGGTGCATGTGTGAGACGATGTCATCTCTGCCAGGAGATGAGAGCGAGCCTTGCTGGGCATGGGGAGCAGAGTGGGGAAGGCCAGGCACCACTCACCTTCTCGCCATTGGCACCCGCTGGTCCAGGAGGGCCGATGGGACCGGTCAGACCCTGGGAGAGAGAGAAGGCAGGGTGAAGGAGGCAGGAGAGTCAGCCACACACTTGAAGCTACACAGGGTCTCCTGCGCCCCACACCCAGTGACCTTGGTGTTTCCACTCATGGTCCCCAGAGCTCCCGGTACGATCTGGTTCCCAGCTTTGACAGGGAAGACCCTATGATTTTGTTCCCTCCCCAGAGGGCTGGAAATCTGTTGCATCCCTGCACCTGTCCCACCTCAATCCCCAAGTTCCACAACTACCAGTCACTCACTCGTCCACCATCCTTTCCAGGGGCTCCCTCAGGGCCTTTCTCACCAACATCACCCTGGGGAAAAGAAAAGCAGCTGCCTCAGAGGGGCGCTTCAGGACCCTCTGCCAGCTCAGTGCCACCCTTCTGGAGTTCCAAGTTCAGTCCTTGCCCAAGAAGGATTTCCTGTGGCCTCAGTACAGATGACAAGGAATAATAGAGCGAGATGAAGGGATGGGAGCCAGGATGTCACTCAAAGTCTGAGAGCTTTGGGAGTCTCCAAGCTTCTCAAGAAAGGGTAACAACTACCTTCATCCCCACAGGGATGGGGAATGAGGGATGTGGCAAAATTGAGGCTTGGGGGAGAGGCACGTTAAAGCTGGTACTCACCCTGTCTCCCTTGGGCCCAGCAATACCTGCTGCTCCTCTCTCGCCAGGCATTCCCTGCAGACCTGGAGGGCCCTGAGCCCCAGGGGGACCAGCTGGGCCAGATGCACCCTGGGGGAGGGGAATTGAAGTCTTGGTAGGCAGCACCTCCTCCAGAACCCCAGGGTACACAGTTTGGAAAGCCTGCATCCCAATTCCTCTTTCCTTCCCTTCATATCCCCCTCATCCTCCTACTTTTCCTCCTCCTGAGCTCCTTCCCTCTCTCTTCCCTCAGCAGTGTCTTCTGGGAATGCCCAGAAAGTTCCCCAGGTCTCAGCCTCACTTACTTTGGGACCATCTGTGCCAGGAGTGCCAGGGAGGCCACGGGGACCCTGGAGGCCCTGGGTACCGGGAGATCCACGTTCACCTGGGAATCCTCTTTCTCCCTGTGGCAGACACAGGGGAGTCACTCATCATCAAGATCAGCAGGGAGGAGGCCAGGGAGAAGTAGGAAGGGGCAGTGTGAAGGTGAGTGGGCCCTGGGACCAAGGCGGGAGGCCCTGGCAGAACTGCGCAGAGAGGGCAGGCCCAGGGAAACCCCAACAAAGGTGACAACAGGACACTCACCCTGGAACCCACAAGGCCAGGGGCTCCAGCTTCACCGGGAAGACCCTGGGGAGCAAAGGAGGAGGTGAGAGAGTGAAGATCCTGGACTCCACGAGCACCCCAGATTAGCCCTCCTACAGGGGGCCCAACATCCCCCCGGGAGAGCTGAGCTCGGACTGTGTCATCTGTGCAGAGCTGGAATGCAGGTCAGGAACATTCCCGGGCCTCATGGGCTCCTCATGCGTTCCTGCCCTTGTCTCTTATACATCAGTTAAACAGGTTGCAGGCTCCAAAAGCTCCATACTTACCTGGTCACCTGGTTTTCCACTTTCACCCGGGGCGCCAGGGGGGCCAGGAAGTCCCTAAAAGCCAGAGTGAGAGTTACACATGTTAACAGAGGAGTGAGTTTGTTTCCCTAGCCCTTTATGGGGGCATAGCACAAGGAAGACCCAAAGGGGACAGTGATGAGAGCCAGGAGGGCACGAAAGCCTCAGACCCCTGGTGTCCCACCTGCTGCTCCCCTGAGAACCCCAGGTGTAGGAAGGAATTGGATAGAAATCTGGGTCCAGCCACCTACCTGGAACCCAGATGGCCCAGGAGCACCCTGCTCGCCTCGTTCACCAGCAGGTCCCTATAGAGGAAAAGAGAAGGCAAGCTGGGCAAGGCTCTCCAGAGAACCTGAGAGCCACAGCTAGAGGGACCCAGAACAGTCAGCAGGGTGGGCAGGATGGACACCCTCCTGCACCATGCAGCTAAGGTGTGCTCCCTCCCACCAACCCACCAAGATGGGGACCACACTGCCTCTGGGACACCCCATCACCCTCGGGATGGGTGTGTCCTAGTTCAGCCCAGATCCACATCTGGCAGCTCTATTCCTAGGAGGCCTTGAGGTTACCTGCCTCTACTTGCCAAGCCCTTTCCCACAGAGCCACCCAGAGGGCTGGGTAGGTACTTACAGCGGGGCCAGGAGGCCCTGCAGCACCTGTCTCACCATCTTTGCCAGGAAGACCCTAAAAAACAGAGAGAAAAAAGTCATGTAATGATGTAAACACTTTTCTTCAGTCCCCCAGACCTCCCGGGACTACTGGGAAGAGGCACTCTGGCCCACGGTTTCTAGTCCTCCTTGATCCCCTAAATGAATTCAATTCCACCCTTCCCTGCCCGTTCTTCACTGGGCCTTTCACTGTCTCTGCCTTTCTCCATAGAAGGATCCCCATTTCCCCCAACAGCTGCCTCTAGCAGCCAGAGTCTCCCTGAGTGGATCCCAAAGGGCCTGGGCCAGTGTGGGTTCAGCCACAGGAATCAACTCTTGTTAATTAGGATCCCAAGACCATGCCCTGTCCTCTGCTGGTGTCCAGCCAACACCAAGCCATGGGTAGTGGGAGAGGTACTTACTCTTAGGCCAGGAGCTCCAGCCAGTCCCTTCTCTCCAGCTTTGCCAGGCTCTCCCTGGAGGAAGAAGAGAGCAGGACCATGAGGTGGAAGGTTGTGGAGGGCGTGGGGGGTAGAGCAGGCTTGGGACTCTGGGGCTTGGAGCAGCAGAGGTAAAGCCAAGCATCACTCCCTTCTTTTATGTTCAGAAGCATCCAGGCCACCAGGCACTTCCCTGTGGCACAGTGTCATGGCTGTGATGTCCTGAACCTTGAAGAGACCTCCCCTGTCCAGATCACATGCACTCTGTGGGACAGGAGAGGCCAGAGCAGCCCACAGGACAGAGATCCCACTATCACTGTCCCTGTGTTAACTGTGTTCAGGATCCAATCCTTTCTCCAAGGACCAAGGAGGGAGGTAGCATCACATGGAAGGAAACAGAAGAGCGAATCATCACTTACATTGGCACCCTTGGGGCCAGGAAAACCCATGACACCAGGTTGCCCACGAGCCCCCTGAGGACCTGGAGGTCCAGGGCGCCCATCTTCTCCAGGAATTCCCTGAAAGAGATGACACCATTCTCAGAACACAGACCCTTCCATTGCTTGCATCCGTCACCATGCCTACTGTGTGGCAGGCACAGGTCACACGCAGAGCATCTAGGACTGACCATAGCTTCGGCCAGCAGCCAGTCCACACATGCTGGCCCATCTGCAACAAACTGCTATGAGCTCCGAAGTCTGCCCCTGAAAGCATACTCTGGGCTTTGTCTTTCCCACAGGAGTGGCCTCCAAATGCTTGCGGGGGGCAGCATTTTCAAAGCTCACAGTGTACTGCACAGGTCACACCTGGCCCGAGAGCCCACCCTCTGTCCCCTGCTCCACTTCTCACACTTCACAGCACACCAGCCTGTCCTCACCCAAACACTCCTTCCCACCACCTGCCTGAAGATATCCTCCATTCTCCCCGCAGCCCAGAATGATGGACTTACAGATGGACCAACTTTGCCTTGAGGACCGGCATCACCGGGGCGACCAGTGAGACCCTGTGTTCAGGAGAGAGAAGGTGGTGTCAAGGACAGGCCCAAGACCTCCCAATCCTGGCGGCACAGATTGGAGAGAGCAGGTAAGAAGGATGTGTGGGTGTATGCAGAACTCAAAGCCAAGGGCAACAGCAGCTGCCCTACTTACCCGGGCTCCTGGAAGGCCAGGTTCTCCAGGACGGCCAATGTCACCATTGGCTCCCTTGGGGCCAGCAAGGCCACTGGGCCCTCGCTCTCCAGGAGCTCCCTTCACCAGAGGAGACAGGGAGTCAGTGGGATGCCTTCTAACCATGAGTGCAAGGAAGACCCAACCCTTCCTTCCCCACTCACCTTGGGACCTGCCAGACCATCCTGACCTGGGAAACCACGGTTGCCAGGAGCACCCTGGGGAGAAATGGGATGGAGACAGGGAGTGAAAACAGCTTCTCACCTAACAGGCTCCTGAGGTCCATCCCATCCACCCACCAACCAGAGTTGGCTTGGTGCAGGAGCCACAGTCTGCAAGATTCTGAGAGGTGAACTTCTTGGGCCTGTGCTCACCTTCCTGGGAAGGAGTTCTTTGTTTTGTGTCATTGTAAGGGTAGGTGCACAAATAGGATAAGGATCTCTGTCTCCTTAGTGGTGGCTGGAGGAGAGGTGTGTGCTATCCAGAAAGTCACAGGGCTTGGCAAGAACTCAGCCAAACAAGACTAATTTAGCAGGCAGGAGGCTCCTCGTTGCATCCACTTACTCTCTCTCCAGGGGGACCGATGGGCCCAACACCGCCAGGCTCTCCGCGAGCACCTCTTTTGCCTTCTTCACCAGCAGGACCAGGAGCTCCCTGGGGGCCAGCAGGACCCTGAGGACCAACACAGAGAAAGACAGGGTGAGTCTTCTGGCCTTGGAGCAAGCGCTGGCTCCATGTGCAGAAGAAATTATCTTGGCAACATTTCAGTGCTAGGGGACTTGGCGAAATAGGGACACATAGAATCACCATGGAAGAACAGAAGCGACCCAGGAGAGAGCGTAAAATTCAAAGTGTTCAAACTGGGAGAAGCTCCAAGAGGGTCCTCTGAGCCCCATGAAGCTCACTTGTTCAGGTACAATGGAAGAGAGCCCAGGCTGGGGGGATGACTCCAGGTGAGGGACAGTGGGTTGGGGCTGCTGTGTGCCCCAGGGTAGCTGCAAGGAAGACAGGATTGGCAAGCAGATACTCACAGTTTCACCCTTCGGACCTTGTTCGCCTTTGAAGCCAGCAACACCAGGCTCACCCTGAATGAAGCAGAGAGGCAGACACATAGGGTTTTCTCCACGGAACCTGCCCACCTCCCGAAACCATATAAAAGGTGCCCTCAGAGGACACTGGAGTGAGGCCAGGGCAGGAGAACACAGGAAGAAGGCAGAACATAGGGGTCACTTTGGGTTCTTACCGTCTGACCTTTTGGACCCAGAGGACCTGTTGCACCTTGAGGACCAGGAGGACCACGGGGCCCAGGGAAGCCAGGAGCACCAGCAATCCCAGGAGCACCCTGTCAGCAAGAGCAGAATCAGACACATCAAGAGAGAGGGGAGGAAAGATTGAGCCCACCTGAGGAACCAGCCCAGGGGCAGCACTCACGGCAGATCCTTTGGCTCCAGGGATGCCATCTGTTCCAGGGTTTCCCTGAAGAAGGAGAGAGTCATTGTAAAATGTGCAGTAGAAAATGAACCCCAGCTACTTGTGGGCCCTGCAGGTCCCAGTCAAAAGCTGTCCATGCAGGGACATTCCTGCTGCATGTTTCAAGGGAAGGACTGGGGACAGAGGGAGCCATCCTTCCTGGAGTTCAGAGGGAAGGAATTGGGCAGGAGGAAGGTTTGGCGATTGGACCTATGCCCCTCAGAGGGATGCATGGAATCAGGAGTGCCCTATGTCCCATGGCAAAAAAGAACTGTACTTACAGAAGCACCAGCAGGCCCAGGGGACCCAGGGTTACCCGGTTCACCTCGGGAACCTTGAGCGCCTTCGGGACCACGGGCTCCAGTGGGGCCGGCCTCACCCTGAAAAGAGACCAGAAGGTGAAGAGAAAAGCAGAGAGCACAGACCTCCAGGGGCCAGGCAGCAGTTCAGGGCTAGCTGCTTGAGTGTGCAGTTATGTGTGTACGCTAGCCCTATATGTGAGCACACATGTTCACACAAGTTCACATGCAGGTCTCACGGTCATTCTTGTCCTCACCAGACTGAGCCTGAAGACCCCCTGTTCCTGCCTTCTCTGTTCTTCTCCTGGCCTCTACACTGTAAACCCCCACACAGTCACGGCTGCACAGTGGCTTGCTCAGTTATAGCAATGGGCAGCCTGCTGGGTCTGCCAGCACCTGTCGGAGAAGCCTGGGTTCAGGGACACTGTGCCATCCTAGCACCAGGATAATGGCAGATGGACTGGATGGCCATCTCCCCTCCCCTGTCCTGTTTTTCTACTCATGAAGGAAGAGAGGCTTGAGGCGGTGACTTTCCAGTCACCCGGACTTCTGCTCCCTTGAGCATTTCTGCTCAGAGCACTGCTTCGTTCCTACCTGGCTGCAGAGCAATCTGTGTGAAGCACATGAGAGCCAGGGCAGAAACATGCTCTGCTCCAGCTCCAGCCTGGTTCTTCTCGGCCTCTGGCAGCCCCCTCCCCCACAAAGTGGCTCTGCTTTATTTTCCTTTTTCCCTGAAAGTTACAACTAACTACGATCAGGCTCTCTGGACAAGGAAGTCCCGAGGGAGGGGCTGCTGACCTAGAGAGAGGGCAGGGCCTCCTTAGGTTTCTTCTCAGAACATTCTCGCTTCACTTTTGTAATTATTATTTTCTAAAGGTCAGGCCCCCTCACCTTCCGCTGTCCCTCTTCACAATGAGTCTCCTTCACCCAGCTCCCTGGGCCTCAGACACTGTCTGGTTGTCATGGAAACCCCCAGGAGGGTAAAAGCAACCTGATGCCTGTGACACGCGGAGGCTCCTTATTCATTCCCAGGGAAATTCACACTGGAATCCCTCCTGGGCTAGGGGAGCCTTTCCCTGAACTGGCTGGCCTCCCACTGGCCTCTATTAATCTCTGGAAGAACTCCATTAATGTGGCTCGGAGGAGGTCACCACCCCAAGTGAGGAGGCAGAAATGCGAAGGGGACAGAGGGAAGCAAGGTGCCCTCTTCCCCTGCCCACTTTACTTCAGCTCCCTCTGCCCAGCTTCTGGATTCCCAGCTTGTCTTCTTACCTCTCTGCCCTGGTTATCTGCTCCCTCCAGGGTCTGTGGGATCCCCCCATCTCCCTCTGCCTCTCCCTACTCTGAAGCTGTACAGGACCTCCAGCTTCTGTCATCCCATCGTACTCTCCCTTCGAGGATGACTCTGGAAAGCCCGGCTTGCTTGCTTGCTTGCTTTCCAATGTGGGGAGCGTGGGTGGAATGGGGGCGATTTCTCAGGAGAGTGGTGGTGTCAAAAGGCTTCCAGCAAGAGGAATGGGGAGCTTCTGAGCTACTCGATGAGCAGGGCACGCACCTTAGCACCAGGAGCACCAGGGAAGCCAGGACCACCAGCCGGACCAACGGGACCCTGGAAAGAGAAAGTGGCAGAGGTGCCATTCTGGGCAGAACCTTTGGCCCCCAAAGGAGATGCCTCCCTACCTCATGGCCTCCCCACCTTTTTACTGATTTTGCTCTGTGTCTGTTGTGGCTAAAATTCCTGGACGGAATTGTCCCTGTTGTCTGTGTCCCCAAGGAATGCCGGAGAATGAATTGCTCAGCCTGGCTTCAGAAGGCAAAGCAAATTTCTGACTATTCACGTGGCAAGAAGAAGATTCTTCTTGGACATCCCTTCTCATGATTTAAAAAAAGCGGGGAGGGGCTGGAAATGCAGTTCAGTGCAAAGACCCTGAGCTTAATCCCTGGAACACAGGAAAACAATAAAAAGACACAGAACTGCTAACAGGGACCTGAGAAGAATGAAGCTTCTAAGGCTGTCGCCAACACACCCAAGGCACACACACTCCCTTCCGAAACTAGTGAGAACAGTGGGAAATGAGAAACTGAACTTACCGGAGGCCCAGCTGGGCCCGGCTGCCCATCGTTGCCTCGGGCACCCTGTAAGCAAGGAAGAAGTCACATGAGAGGTGTGACAGGCCCAGCAATCCCACTCTCACAGGGCTGCACCCACCCTCCCAGGAAACTGGACAGACACCGTCTCGGTGCCCCAGAGCCGAGCATGAGGAGGTTGGCAAAGCACGAGCTGCAGGACAGCCCACCACCAGGACCTGCTGTGGTGTTGGTGTGGGTGGGCGGTCCGAGGCAGCAGTGGGCTTGTTCTCGTGGTTAACAGACCTTGGGTAATTTCCCAACTGGCCGTTCATTTCTGAAACTTCAATTTAGATCCCAAATATCCCTACCTTTAAGGCTGAGTTCTCATTTAGTGACTCAGTGAACTGGGCAAAAGGAGAATGAAAGAGCCACGCAGCAACAACCTTGACTTAGGGCTTGCTGACCACACAGAGGGAGGCACATGCATGGCATGGTTAACCTGCTTGGTTAAGGACCTGTTAAGGCCTCCTCCTGGTTAACTCCAGGTTTCCCCTGTCCTCTGCCTCCCCAAACTATTCTTGAGGAAAACAAAGACACTCACAGGATGTCTCCTGTTGGCTGAGGAAGCAGCTACTTGCTGGAGATAGGGCACCAGCAAAGGCCCAGAACCACATCTGAGCTTCTGCCCTGTGAGACTCCACTCTGCAGAGCAAGGCAAGGCTGCCAGTGTTTTCTCTGTAGGACTCACATTTCGAGGAGTTTCCTTGTTAGTGGTAAGCACCTTCCAGATTCTGTCTCAAGGCCCTCTAGGGCCAGGGAATTCTACCCTAACCCAGGAGCCATTGGGCTGGACAGAATGAACCAAGCAAGCCTGGAATCTGGTCCTTGGCAGGGGACCCTAGCAGGTCAGGAGGGGACATTTCCCCAGCTAAGCCTTGTCTTCCAGCATCTGCCCCTCCTCAGAAGCTGAAAGGGAAGGGTTCTTTGAAGGGAGTTTATACTTTAATACTCAGGCTATGGTCCATTTCTCCTGAATGAAACTATCCAGATTGGAAGTCAACAGGAAAGTAAGACAAAGCTTAGTGAAAGAAAAATCAGTGGGAAGACACAGCTTCAGTATTTCTGCAGCCCTCCTGGGCTGGCCAGGGTGCTTTAGGAGGCTGTGTTCTTAAGAATCCCTAAGGTCGGCCAGCAGAGAGCCCAGAACTCAAGGTGAGAGAAGGGAGCTGCAATGCTGCCTGGAGAAGCCTGCCCTAGGCCTAGGCCTGCATCTGCAGCTCTCCCTGAGACAGCGCTGGGAAGATGCCAGAGTCTGGGCCAAGGGAGAGAGCTGCATGAGCCTGCCTGTGTCTGGGGCTGCCCGGCTACCTTCTGGAAGTCCAGGCTCAGAAGGCCACCAGGAGACCTCAGAGCAGGGTCCTGGGTAGAGAAGGGCTCAGAAACAACAGAGTCAATGTTCTAAGTCAACTCTTGCACACACAGTTTCAGCTCTACTACTGTGGGAACAGGAACCAGCAAGGAGAGGTGGGCACCCAGGAAAGAGAAGGACAGTAGCAGAGATGCACCTCAACCTTGCCTCTTCAAGGGCAGGGCCACTGTGGTGTAGTGTCTCTCACAAAGTCCAAACATGGCCCTGTGGATCCATAGAAGCAGCAGTGTTTCCAGGCAGACCCAGGGCCCTCTCATCCTCTCACAAAGTAACCCTGGGACGAGGCACGATGTGCAGCATCAAGTATGGAGCCTGGTGAGTTGATGCTAGACTCTGCTACCTTTTTCTAGGACACCATCATGGGAGCAACCCCAAAGAGCAGAGTGGCACAGTGCTCTAGCTAAGTCTTACACTCCACCCAGATGGACAGGGAGGGGGAGGCTGCTGAAGGCGTTATCTACTAATTCAGACTGGGGAAGAAAGAGCCTTGCTCACCCCCCAGCCCTTCCTCTAGCATGGTGCAGGCCCTGCCTGGGGCTCTTTCCTGGGCACACTCAAGGTGTGTCCTTCTGGATGTTGATGCTTTCTACACCTCAGGGACTTGTCCTGAGGATCAAGTGAAATAAGCTTGTGAACTCTAAATGATGCCATTTGGCTTTGTTGATTCCTCACCGCTGCACCAGCAGGGCCAGTCCGTCCTCTCTCACCAGGCAGGCCTCGAGGTCCCTGGAAGACACACAGCCCAAGCACGAGTTGGCTTAACAGTACTCTGTGTGGTGTCTGCTACCTGCAGGCCCCTCCCAGACTCAGGAGCCCGTAACCTTGTTACTGACGTAGCTTGTTTCTTATAACAGATGAGCTCCCCAAAACATTGAGAATAAACACAAAGTTTAAAAACTGAAGCATAGATGAAATGTATGAACATGGTGATTTCAAAGAAATGTTGGTGAAATGTTGAACAAATCATCCGTCCATTACAGGTTGCTGTTTGCTTACAATCAGAGCTGTTGCCGTTTGCTCATAATCAGATAAAAACTGAAAATCTACTTTGCACAAAAAGAGCAAAGGTGTTTGAAGTGCAGCCACCTGACAGGCACTGGGGGGGGGTCTCCAGAGTGGATGCCTACAGCTCCTGTGGGGGACCCCCATACTCACCATTGGGCCTGGAGAGCCATTCTCCCCAGGAGAGCCACTCTCACCCT